CCTCTTCCTCCTCCTCCTCTTCCTCCTTCTCCTCCTCCTCCTCCTCCTCCTCCTCCTCCTCCTCCTCCTCCTCCTCCTCCTCCTCCTCCTCCTTCTCCTCCTCCTCCTCGCCACTTGCCCCCCCCCCACACCTCCCCCTTGCCTACCCCTCCCCAACTTGAACCTGAACCTCGAACTTAGACGCAGATCGGGTGTTCAATAACGTCTCTGAACAGTTTATACTCTCGCATGCTTGGCCGAGACGGGACTGCGCACGCCAGCAGCCAGGCAGTTATATATATATTTTTTTATTTATTATTACTATTTGGGAGGGGGGAGGGAGGCCATTTTTGTAAATCTTCACACTTTATTCTGTGTTCAAGAAATTATAGTAAATATTAATAAATGATATATGAAAAATAAAGTAGAAAAAATATAAATATGAATAATGAAAAAAAAAATCCAGGATACATAAAGTAGAAAAATAAATGCAATGAAAAAAAAGAAAGAAAGAAAGAAAAAAGAATATATATATATATATACATATATATATATATATATATATATATATATATATATATATATATATATATATATATATATATATGCAGAGTAAATCCACCATTACAGAAGGCGACGGACTTAAAGGCAACGTGTTCTCGACGAAGGTGAAATGTGTTCAAGCTCTGCTGTTCACTGTTCAGCGCAGAATTCGTCCCGGGGTTATTTTGTGTTATTTCCGGGCGCCATTGTAGGAGGAACAATATGATGGATTTCAATGGCTGTCAGCTTTTGTTTTCGAATTATATCATAAATCAGACAGCGGGCCTGCAATGAATCATTCACGTTACAGTATGCAAAACACTGAGAGCAATAAACTTGTGGCATGAATTTAAAATAGCAAAGGCTCGTCCAGGTCGGTACGAGAATTTGGGTTTCGGCAGCAACGCCATATCACCAGGCCTCGCTTCCGGCCGGGCGTACGATTAACTATACTTTAAGATTATATTAGATTTTTCTTATTATTTTGACTTTTTTTCCCTCGCGTTTCGAATCTCTTTGCTATAAATAACTTTTGATTTCTTCGTCATTCTTTCTTTTTTCGTTATTTCTTCGTTTCTCCTCCTGCCCTACTCCTCCTCCTCCTCCTCCTCCTCCTCCTCCTCCTCCTCCTCCTCCTCCTCCTCCTCCTCCTCCACCTCCTCCTCTTCCTCCTCCTCTTCCTCTTCCTCTGCCTATACATTCCCTTCCCCCTCCCTATCTCCACCCTCCTCCTCCTCCTCCTCTTCCTCTTCCTCTTCCTCTTCCTCCACTTCCCCTTCATCCCCCCCCCTCCACCCCCCTTGAATCACTTGCTGCCAATCTCGCCCGTGTGACCCACTGGGGAGCCAGGTCACCGAACACGACCGGGGAACAGGTCAGGATTTAATGACCATCAACCCCGACGAAATCTTCCCACCAATCTAAAAACTTGGACTATTATCCCAGAGTCATAATGGAAACGAAAAAAAAATCCTCCTCCTCCTCCTCCTCCTCTCCTCTTCCTCCTCCTCCTCCTCCTTCTCCTCTCCTCTTCCTCCTCCTCCTCCTTCTCCTCTCCTCTTCTTCCTCCTCCTCCTTCTCCCCTCCTCCTCCTCCTCCACCTCCTCCTCCTCCTCCTCCTACTCCTCCTCCTCCTCCTCCTCCTCCTCCTCCTCCTCCTCCAACTCCTTCTCCTCCTCCTCCTCCTCCTCCTCCTCCTCCTCCTCCTCCTCCCCCTCTTCCTCCTCCTCCTCCTTCTCCTCTCCTCTTCTTCCTCCTCCTCCTTCTCCTCTCCTCTCCTCTTCCTCCTCCTCCACCTCCTCGTCCTCCTCCTCCTCCTCCTCCTCCTCCTCCTCCTCCTCCTCCTCCTCCTCCTCCTCCTCCTCCTCCCCCTCTTGCTCCTTCTTCTCCTCCTCCTCCTCCTCCTCCTCCTCCTCCTCCTCCTCCTCTTCTTCCTCCTCCTCTTCTCTTCCTCCTCCTCTCCTCTTCCTCCTCCTCCTCCTCCTCTTCCTCCTCCTCCTCCTCCTCCTCTTCCTCCTCCTCCTCCTCTCCTCCTCCTCCTCCTCTCCTCCTCCTCTCCACCTCCTCTACTCCCTTCCCCCCCCCCCCATTAAAGAAAAGAAAGAAAGAAAGCAAAGAAAGAAAGAATGAAAGAAACAGAAACATTTGATCAGCACCGATTGTTCAATAACAGAATCGCGGTTCAGTTGAAGCCTGTTCTGATCCCTTTGAATGTTCTGTGTGGAAAATATGAAGGGTGAACGTGAAGTGTTTTTGTTATTGATGGAGTTGTTGTTTGTTTGTTTGTTTTTTTGTGGTAAAAAAAACAAAAAACAGAGGAGGGAGAGAGAGAGAAAACAAAAAGAAGAGCTTTAGCTAAAACTTAACTAGAATGTATATGCTAAAATTGAGCAAAAATATAAATGGAATACGAAATGTTACCAAACATCCCCCCCCCCCCGAAAATACGACCAGTATCGAAAGAAAGAAAAATAAGATA